ACCAGCACTGACTGATCTGTAAAGAGAACAGCCTCCGTTGTTCAAGTTTGCAAGCGAGATTCTGGTTTGAGAATAGTCGCCATTCTACTCGATGCCTCTCCAGTAATAGAGAAACTGATGTGGGACGTAGACAAGAACGCTATACTCACGAAACTTTCTGATGACTGTTTTTGATCTCTTTTGATCCTACATAAAGTTGACTACCTATGAAGGAAGCCGTTAAATGACGCTTCTGTAATGTGGTAAGAGCAATAAAACGATCGTCTCTAACCATCGTACATCGCGGTCTACCACTGCTTCTCGTCGATGGAAACTTCCGGTGGTCCTAAACCGCTGAAAACCATCGTTGATGGTAGAGCGCGCCATACAAAAGTCTTGGGTTATGTAACGGATGTCTCACGTACACTGTTGCCCAAAGCATCGTGCCCTGATGTCTCGATTTAAAACCATGCTTTTAGGAAAAGAAAAAGTTAATTTTTTACTCAATTTATTGTTTCATCAAAGAAAAGAATTTAAAAAACCATTAAACTCGACAAAATGGCTCTGGAATGTAAGAAATTGAAGTGATTTTCTTTATTTCTGATCTAATGTTTGTATCAATTTTATTATTTTCTTCATTTTTTTAATCTTTATTTTTTGTGTTTGTAAGTTAATGTTAGAAAACGTTTCTTTCTTTAAATACATTACTTATTTACGTTTATTTGGCGTTTCGAAAATTTGCACCCATCATCAGCATCTATATTTTTTATAAAAAGACATAATTTATACATTTATATTAATATTTTACTATATTTTATTAAAAGCTTATCTTATATTGTATTAAATTTATAATTGTATTGGTTTTTTAGGGTGGGGGTGGGGGTTCGCAACAGCAGAGGTCATATCAACCCCCGGGATGTTGGTGTTTTTAAAAAGAAAAGCACATTTGTAAGCAAGTCAGGTTGGAATGCAGGACGTTGGATTCGCACCCGAGACTTTTATCTTAGGGCCAACTGGTGTAATTTTATGACCAAAACCAAAAATATGTACATACTTACTTATCCTACGATGAAGTTTGTCACATCATCTATGTTTTCACACAAGGCACCTCTTTAATCAGATGTGTACCCTACTGATTTTTACGCCAAACTAATTTCAATCTGGGCAAGGGAAACCATGATTGTTGACAAATAAATAAGAGAACAGCCTGTTGGTCAACTGTGACTAAACCAATATAATTTATTGGAAACACCATGTTTAAAAATTGAAGTCAAAGTAAGCTCAGCTACTTCATCTAAGCTCATTCGCATCCTCTATTTGGGCTTATATTTGCTCATTTTTCTGGACCTTATTCAGATGTGGTATATAATGGTAAATATTGTCATTGTCAACTTTGTAAAAACAATTTATTACGATAAAATCTAATACATAGTAAATCTACATTTTGATTCAATTGATTACCAAGCACTTATAAATTTTAACCATTGTCTATAATTCTATGGAAATTTTTGAAAGCTCATAATGTACAGCGGAATTCTGTTAGTCCAAACTAATTGTGATTAGGAGAAATTCAGATTATCTGAATAACTGCAATAATGAAGAATCGGTAAAAAAATGTCAGGTTTAATAAGGAATAAATTTATAGACAAATCGGATCAGCTGGATTAGGGTGAATGCAACTTGGTCTGCCTATCTTCGTTGTTTTGGTCTGTCAGATGGGTTTCAGCTTTTTCAATTTTAACCCTTAAATGTCACAGGTTACTATATCTTGGTCTGCCACGAATTCACTTCTTAATCGCGATTTACTCAGCAACTCAATCCCAATTATTCGGTATTTTTACTAATATTTCTACAATAAAAATTGTAGACATATTTCAATAGTATTAATGGATGATAGGTGAATTATGTAATTGTTTATTTAAAAGATGGAAAGATAGTGGGCATAAAGATGAGTATTTACACGACAAAGTACACGATAAAACTTCTTAATGTATTGACTATGAATCCACATTTTACCCTAAATCAGGCAACTGTTTCAACATGCATGATTCATCAGGTATGTATAAACGCAGGCAGGTTTTGTTGAAGCAGTTAAAAATATAGTTGCACCACACCCAAGGCTGAGCCGACTATGCCCGGAGTCTATGCCCTTGTCCAGAGCTATGTAAAAAGCCACTCAATCCAAGGTTCATGAAGTGAGGTCATGTACACATCTTTGTCAGCAAAGACCCAGGATCCAAGGAGGTTGCAAACATGCTTCATCAGAAAAATCTGAGGTCATTTCTGGCAGAGTCAGGGTAAAAGCGGGCCTGGACTTCAGTCTCAGAGAAGTCTCAGATACAGAGACACAGCTTCAGAGGCAGTCTCTGAGTCCGAGAATGAAATGCCCTGGCACGCATGAGGTGATTCTGCGGATTCTGAGTTTGGGGGTGGAGCCTCCCCGAGGGGTTTGTTAGTAAAAGAGGGCCTCGAGCGATCCACCTCCTTCTCTACGAAGGACCACGCCCAACTATGTTCCTTTCCCACATGAAGACATTACTCTGGGAAATAAAACCAATTGAAAATAAGCAGTGCCACTCCTTAAACTTGAGCGTTTATTTCATTAGGCCTTTTTCCATCAAAATACGCCTGCTGTACCGCATTAGGAAGATATCCTGGGGCATAAGATACAGAGAGATCTGTGCCACAATCACAGCTGCTAAACCATTCTTGCCTTTGAAGCCGATCATCATAACACAATGCCATTTTAAGAGCTACAAGTTGGTGTATGAACCCATCATTAAGAAATAATTTATTTTTTTTAAGTATTACACAAAAGTAAACAATGATACAGAATGCAATCAAATATTCAATTCTTTTATTTGTCTTTCCATAAATTGCAAGGAGGTAATGAAAACTTCCTAACCCAAGAGACCCAAAGGCACATTTTGAAAACGTGTACCTCTTGGGCTACAGTAGTGTCTCACATACTGACTAACATTTAAGAAATGATTAACCTATATCAAACGGAAAACTAAGCTTGAAAGAAAAATCCTAGAAATATTATCTGAGATTGACATGGGCATCTGTCTAATGTGAAACCAATACTTGTGGCAAAACCAGCTACGATGTACCTGTAGCATTGAGCGTCAACATGAATGTTTTTGGGTTAGATTCATAAATTATTTTGCATTAGCATTTTTGTGTCATCGATTTCACATTACCATAATTCAATTTTCTTTTGATGTCTATTTTTTAACAATCAAGCCCACCATTGAAGATGCTGAAATTCTTCTGACAGACCAAAAACGTGAAGGTAACAGACCAAACTAGGTAGAAGAGCTTGGAGTGCCTGAAGCAGGGAACACACTCAACGCTATACGACTCTACCCCGATGCTACCCAACCCCTTGTCAAGTTTTGGTAGGGTGTGCACGTCTATGCGACGTCAAGCGCACGCCATATAGTCACACAGAGTGTATCACAAAAGTATCACAATCGCAACATCTCTTTTGTTCTTAATGCATTATTTTGGGCAAAACCATGTAATAAATTTTTAGTTAAATTCATTATATCAAAAAATGGTATTCTGGTGTCTTGATCAATTTTCTCCCAAACCCTTAAAATTATTATTATTATTTTTTTTTTAATAAAAACTAATGAATTTTTGATCTCAGCTAATTTGGTTTATATTAAAATAAGTAGTTGTAATTAATATAATGACAATAATACATGTAGTTTGAATAAAAATATGAGTGTCCGGTTCTTTTGTCTTCGACTGTACTCGACGCAACCCGACGAAAATCTGGACAGTGGGGATCACAGAGCATAGTGAGGTAGCATTGCATAGCATTGGGCAGATGTACATGGGGGTAGCACAATCTTCCGGAAAATTGGACTTTGGATTTGCGTCGGGTAGCGTCACATAACGTTGCATCGGGTATGTGTGTTCCCAGCATAAGGCCAAAATGACTCACCATTAATTCACATATCACTTAAATTTATCCGAAAAATACAAAAATGCATATTTTGCATGCTAAAAAATTTCCACTTTCCTGACCAAAATGTGTTCGAATAAGGCAGACATTCTGATTAATGGGACTCCATTGTATTTCCTTGTAAGTTAGGCCTAGTACGCACTGGGATTCTCTGAGTCGACTCTTTGAATCTCCGGAGAGTCTCGGCTGCGTCTAGCCTGAGTCCGGGCCACCATGACTCATTGTTGCGATGAATCTGGTGTGTTGCGGGCTAGCATTTTCCGACTCTTTTGAATCCCATCTGATGTGGGATTCTTTGACTCAATGTTGCGCAACATTTGCCAGTGCAGACGTGAATCGGAACAAGCGCTCTTGCTTCATTTGTTTAGTCGATGTTCTAGTGAGTGTTTTTTTGAAGATGTTGGTACTGCCTTGTATAAAGGTATGCTGTGGAGTACTTCGTTGACATTACAGTTTATCGAAGACATGCATTCCCATCGGTGTTTGTGGGATGTATCATTCACGGAATACAGAAATCGGGAATTGAAAAGCCAAACATTGAACGGTTTAACCCAAAAATTCAGTGTTTCCGTCACTGAAATTGAAAAAAAAATGCACACTTTAAAAGGACAGTTTTTTTAATGCACTTCCAATTGGATGCACTACGTCCATTGCAAAAAAGAGCAAGGGAAATTCCTGAGAGCTAGTTCCTTCGTCATTTTCGCAGGCACTGATGAATGTGAACTGAATCTTGGTCTGGACACGGTTCTTTGTCACAGAGCAGAGTCGGGGCTGCATCGCAACAATGAATCTATGCAGCCCTGAATCTACCCCGCAACATGAATCGATTCAAAGAATCTCAGTACGTACTAGGCTTTAGATTCGCCTAATATTGGGTGTACTTGCAATCCCTTTAAGTACAGTTGAATATTATTATATCAACTGTTATTTATGTTTTATACATTATAACATAATAAATGTTTTCTAGTAAAACTATTTATACCTCTGCAGACATTCTACATTTACGCATAAATAAACTCATTCACTTAATAACATGTTACTTTATATGAATTCTCCTGATTTATTATCCTAAAAATTTTTGAACATTTGTGTAATTGACAAAACACTTTTCATTTTGTTATTTGCACGTTTAGCTATAAATCAAATTACATTATTCTTTCAAATTTAAACCATAATCTTTCAGTTAGTATAAGGCTCTTAATGTATAAATAACAAATCCCTGTTCAATCGATTCTTTGCAATTTAACCTTTTCTTAACTTTAGGTTTTACATTTCAGCCATTGTAATCATATACACCTGTGCCCTTTCAGAATATGGGACGTTAAAATGTCCCAACTAATTTAGACAACCCATCCTACCAACTAACATAGTAATAATTATTTATATAAGGACTTAACTATTACAACTTAAATAGGTAGTCTTTTAAAAGTTGAAATTCACTTTCAAAACTTGTCTCCTTCGATATGAATTCATCTTTGATCCTGTGAATGCACAATTGGGATTTTTTCAGTGACATGGCCTGGAAAATTATTAAAATGATAACAAATGTTGAACTTCAGACTAATAGTTAGTATATACCAGATAAGGAAATCGTGAATCACAGGAAATGTCCATGTTGGTAGCTGATTTTCGCTTCAACGGAACTGAGAACTGAGGGAAAACGTCACCCTTGCAAATATCCCAGACGTAAACGCTTGAAAAAATAAATTCAATGTTATGCAAGAAAATAAAGAATTAATTAAAGTATCGGGTGGTAAAATAAATCCATAGCAGTTTTTGACGGTAAATTCATTGAAAATGTCATGTCCTTGTAAACAAATGTAATGAACAATGTATGAACAGTTTCGTTCCACTCCCAGTTGCCATCCATCATGTAATTTACTAATTCTACCCTCCCAAAATTTCTCAGGTTTTGAAATGTGAACTCCTCAATCTGCAGTTCTCAAGCAAAGTAAAGTTTTCCCCATTTTGAGTTTATCAGAGCCTGGAATAAGTGAAAATCTGAGGCAATGTCAGTCATTGGGTGGGGTAGCACATCAGAGCCAACCTCCAACTATTTGTGGTGAATTTGCAAAGAAATATTGGGGCCAGCATTATCCTGGAATAACAATCCCATTGCAATTATCCAATGCTGGTATTTTTGGCCTTATTACTGAATTTAATCACACTGAATGATTGCAGTATTCACTAGAATTAAGTTTCATTGAGAGGAAAAGCTCATAATAAAGCACCCCCATCCAATCCCACCCCTACCTTCTGGGGGTGTAACCCAGCTTTTGGAATTGTTAACATTGGGTCGCTGCATTTTCCCCAGGATTTTCCTCTCTGAACAAAATTCATTATTTTTCGTGGTCCGCTTGACCAATTTATATCATCCAATTAATTAAGGTTGTTAAGTTGAGATAAAAAAGTCAGTGCCACGAGCAGGATTCGAACCCACGACCTTCGGCTTGATACGCCGCTACTCTACCACTTGAGCTATCGTCGCTTCCATCCTCTCGAGTACTAACTTCCCATCTCAACCCCACCTTTTGAATTTTCCCTCCTTTTTGCCATTTTTCAAATGTCATGTAATCTATTTGATTCTCGGCGACAATGAAATGGCCACAGAGAGCTTTAGTGAAGTATACTGCATTTTAATTCATTAAATTCACTATTTTTCGTGGTACGCTTGACCAATTATATCATCCAATTAATAAAGGTTTTTAAGTTGAAATAAAAAAGTCAGTGTCATGAGCGGGATTCGCACCCACGACCTTCGGCTTGATATGCCCCTACTCTACCACTTGAGCTATCGTGGTTTTGATCCCCTCGGGCACTAACTTCCCATCTCAACCCCACCTTTTGAATTTTCCCACCTTTTGAATTTTCCCTCCTTTTTGCCATTTTTCAAGTGTCATGTAATCTATTTGATTCTCGGCAACAAGTGAAATGGCCACAGAGAGCTTTAGTAAGTATACTGCATTTTAATTCATTAAATTCACTATTTTTCGTGGTCCGCTTGACCAATTAATATCATCCAATTAATTAAGGTTTTTAAGGTCATGATAGCTCAAGTGGTGGAGTAGCGGCGAATCAAGCCGAAGGTCGTGGGTTCGAATCACGCTCGTGACACTGACTTTTTATCTCAACTTAGAAACCTTAATTTATTCTCTGAACATTGTAGTAAAGGACCGACTTTACATTCTGAGTTATCAATATTTAAAAAAATGGGTTGTTTACATTGCATTTTAGAAGAGAATCGCAGATGGAGATGTAGTCTGATAAATTGTTCTCAGTCAACATGTGACGAACCCTTACATCCGTCAAACAACCTGCTGCTTTCAGATGCATTGAAATACGTTAAATATTTCTAGAATATTGAAAAATGGTACAGACTTATTTTACAAGCCATATATGGACACATATACAGAGACCTTTCATACATTGATTGAAATAATATTCTTCCTTTGATTAACTGTATTTATTAGCATGAATATTAAAGTATTTGGGTGTGTTTGTGATAGAATGTAACAAGTAGTCTAGGTTATTTAGTTGTATGTACATTTGCAATATAATATCAAAACCCTGATGACTAACCCGATTATGTGAATGTATTTATTTGCGGGAGTGAAGTGTGAAATATAGGCTCAGACCTGTTGAACCAATTAGGTTAAGTAGTGATGGTGAATGTGTGATTTTTACTCTGTATGAATGTATTTATGAATGAAAGGAGGACATCAAGGTGAAAAATGCCCTGCCAACCTCTAACCTTGGTTTAGGTTGTTACTAATTTTAGCATAATTGTAAGGTTGCGGGTCTCAGAAGTATATCGAGAACTGTAATTAAGTCCTGCTAAACTTAGATTAGGCTATCGTTTATGAATTTTAATTGACTTAGGACGATCATGAATGGAAGGATTGAATATAAAAGATAAATGTAATAAAAAATGTGAGTTAACCAAATTGTGACAAGCTGGCCAGGGGGGAAGATAAAAAAATTAATCTCTTGTATCATATTTACCTTGATTCGTTATCCATGACAAAAAATAGACCAACTTTAAATGAACACCATTTTAAATTCACTACTGGACTTCCGACCATTTCTGGGTGTGATGTGAAAGTACGAAGTGGTTTACTTCTGTCAATATTGAACAAAGTTACATTTCCGTCATCATAGCCGACCTAAACAAAAAATATAAATATACGAAATCAATATTTGTAGAACAGCTTCAATTTAAAAAATTTTTACCAAGAATATGTTGTATAAGTGTGAGTTGGGTTCTATACATGAAATACCCAGTGATGTATCTACAAGGTAATGTTTGGCATTAATTCATGCATGAAACACGTTCTAATTAATACTACTAAATGTACGCAGGTGTAATTACCATAATTCCCAAAGAGTTTCGTTTCTGGCACAGAACCAATCGAGTTGCAGTTAATTACATACCCAATATTTGTTCCTAGCAGTATCCTTAAGAATTCCTTATTTGATATCAACGCCATGCAATTTAACTCAAGATAGTCATTTCTTTCATTCCTGATAAACAAATAATTTTTTTTTTGAACGGCACTGACTATTCACTTTAACACTCACTTTACAAGATTTTTCTTCGGGTCTAATACAGTATTGCAAATGAGCTTTATCCTGCCCCAAGGGGCAGTGCAACCTTCTTGAATTTGTCTGTTTAAATTTACATCAGCATTTGGGCAATGTAGAACGGTCCAAATTATGCATTTTGTGTCTTGGCTTAATGTCACAAGCTGAGGAAAATACACGATTGAAAAATTTATGTTGTACTCTGTGGAATAGGTTAAATTACCCTTGTAGGTGGTTTAACACTGGAAGCAAGATCATTTAATTGAGTAAATCCTATAGATTTTATGCTTATGATTGGCCTGTAATGTTTCGCTTCATCATTATCTTCTTGAGCATAAACTGGAAACCAAATTTCACATTATATGACATACAGTGCATTGTGAATGAGATATTTACATGAGCAGTACGTCGGTGATCTTAAAATGAAAGGCATATCCACAGCAATATTCTGCTGGTGCCATTCAGTTCTTTCTGTCAAATCCCAAGCACATATGGTCCTTTAAAATAAATACAAATTTAAAAAACTAGTTTTAAATCAAAATTATAGATATTCTGAGGAGAGAAGAAAAAATAACCACCCATCATTTAATCCAGCATATATCAGGTAATCGTATGAAGAGTCAAAACACAAAGATGTGATTTCATCGGATGCCACGAGAAATTTCAGCGGCTGCGACGGTTGCAAGATATTCCATATGCAAACAATACACCTTCCATAGTACTGGTCAATGAAAGTGCTGCCAAACTAAATTATTAAATATGTTGAATGATACCGTTGTACAGCAAAACAAAAACCAACCTCTATAGAAGTCTGATGACAGCTCAAGAAGATTAATGGATTATGCGGTGAAAACACAAGATTTGTAATGAGCCTTCCTTTCAAAAAGTTGATTTCGTTTGTCATCATTGATATAAAGCCATCACTAAACCCATAGTCAATTTTTCCACGAGTTAATTGATTCTTTTTGGAGGAGATCATTTCTTCTTCCAAAATGATCAACATTACCTGAAACAACAAAACAGTTAATTTATTATATAACATTGTAGCAATAACAATAAACCATGATTTGTACTTAATGGAACTGTACAAGATTTGATGATTCAAGATCTCAAGACACTAGTATCGTTTAATTTTCCAAAAAACATCTGGACATCCAGTCTTCCTCATTGAGATACTAAACCCCTAAGCACGCTAGATCATTATGCAGGACAGGATCTCTTGGGACACTCCTAGTCGGCTCTTTTGGAAAAAGATTGCTGAACTGGAGTGTCTTGACAAAATAGTAGTTGTTTTCTGGGTCATCAGACACATGTAATAGAGGGAAATGAAAAGTTGGGTGAGGCAGCAAAACAGACAAATCAACCTCTGAACTGACTAGCCAATGATGCTAAATATGTAATTTAAAAAAAAAAATCAATGCAGCATCAATATATCAGACCAGCTGAATTCTTGACTAAGGGGCAAAATCTCTGATTGATCCTACTCTGCCTTGGAGAAGAGATGCATATGAAATATGGACGTTTACTATTGTGTCAAGGCCCATATGCCCTTTCAAATAAAGAAAGGTTGTTTAATTTATCCCACACAGCCAAAGATCATGCCTTGCCTCCAAATAAGAGTGCAAGTAGAGGTGGCCATTCATGATCGCTCCTAGCAGTCCACACAGAGCGACACCGTTTCAAAAACCACGTCAATGGCAAAACTGAACTGGCATGCCAGGCTGTGCCAAAAATTCGACCGGTCCAAACTCCATCGCGCCACTCCAAATATCTACGGCACGATGACGGCATGGCGCGTTAGTGAATGGGAAAACCCGGCATGAACGGTGGAATATTGTGGCGCTGGCTTGGTCAAGAATGGGAAAACCCGTGTTTTTTTTTGGCGCAGTCTCCATCTGTCTGTCACTGAGCAAACATTCTCAAAAAGTCAAAAAATTTATTCTTTATTGGCAATGATATCCAATCGAGATTTTATTGTTGAGGTGACTGAATTCTATGAAAGTTTACCATGTTTATGGAAAGTGGTGGACAATGATTACCACGATAAAAATAAAAGAAATTCGATCCTCAACCAATTGGTCGACATTTTCAAAACAAAGAATACAAATGCAACGAGAGATGCGGTATTGATAACCCTTAACAATGATCAGAAATCATAGTAGAGAACTTAAGTTCTTTGGAGTTCATCCCTTTAGCGAGAAATTGTAGTGACTGCCAACCTTTAATGTAGGGTAACAGGCTGGAGTAAATAGAAATAAGCCATTTATCTGTTAATAGTGTCACGAGGGGATTCGAATACACGACATTTGGCTAAATATGCTGCTGCATTAACCACTTGAGCTATTGTGACGATAGCTCAAGTGGTTAGCGCAGCAGCGTATTTATACGAAGGTCATGGATGCAAATCCCGCTCATGGCACTAGCTTTTTCATTTCAACCAAAACCTTACAAAAAAAGATTAATTAATTGAAAGAAGTAATTTCATCAATAGAGCGCTAAATATAATGAATAAATAAGACGTTTCATCCATCCTTAAATAGTTCCTCCAATCAACGGGTTCAAGGGAAAGATCTTTCATCAAATTGATGTGGGTATTACGGCTTCCGTTCAGGAGCCACTTCCTACACCATTTACTCTTCGGTTTTTGCAGTTAATATATAAACAAACAGCAGCACAGCACATGAGATCATCATCCATTTTGAGAAGTTAATTCACTGGCTGACGTTCGGAGTGACTGGCTATGGAGCGGTCGTAAATGCCCCCTCAAATTTCAGGCACTCCAAATGGAGCTATACAGCTTAGCGCGATTCCATTTGGAGCGATCGCACCTTAGGAATGCCACCCCATATGAAAACCATGGTTGAGCACATCATTCCTCTGTTCTATTCTTTAGCAGAATATACATACAGAAAGAGAAAATGAGAACCATTTGAAAACCTGTTTTGAAAAGCAAAAACATACAAGTCGACCACTCACCTGTCCAGCTGATAATATAAAGTTATTTAGCTGCTGTGTGTTATAGTTGTATTTTTTCAACAACCTGTTACGGCCCAATATGGAGTCATACATGTCATCACCACCAACGCCATTTTTATCCTAAAATTTATAAGTTAACCAGTTGAAATAACAAATGCCAATTACATTATTATCATTTATTTCAATTAATTAAGGTTTTTAGTTGAGATAAAAAAGTCAGGGTCACGAGCGGGATTCAAACCCACGACCTTCGGCTTGATACGCCGCTGCTCTACCACTTGAGCTATCGTGACCTCGATCCACTCGGACACTAACTTCCCATCTCAACTCCACCTTTTTTAATTTTCCCTCCTTTTTGCCATTTTTCAAATGTCATGTAATCTATTTGATTCTCGGCCACGGAGAGCTTTAGAGAAGGTATACTTCATTGTTTCACTTTTTATCTCAACTAAAAACCTTAATTAATTGAAAGATATTAATTGGTCAAACGGACCACTAAAACAAGTGAGTTTGATAAGTAAAAATGAAGTATACCTTCTCTAAAGCTCTCCGTGGCCATTTCATTTGTCGCCGAGAATCAAATATATTACACAACATTTCAAAAATGGCAATAAGGAGAGAAAATTCAAAAAGGTTGGGTTGAGATGGGAAGTTAATGTCCGAGTGGATCGAGGTCACGATAGCTCAGGTGGTAGAGCAGCGGCGTATCTAGCCGAAGATCATGGGTTCGAATCCCGCTCGTGACACTGACTTTTTTATCTCAACTAAAAAGCTTAATTAATTGAAATATATTAATTGGTCAAACGGACCACTAAAACTAGTGAATTATCATTTATATAAGCAAAATTGATTTGGGTAGTTTACAACATTTGGATTTTTTCTTTACTTTGTTCAAATCTTATTGTTCAGCCTAGTCCAGATTGTAAAAATTAATTAAGAACTATGTTGCACAACAGTTGACCTTTATTTTCTGATTTGTTTGGAACTGTTTCATATATATACTGAAAAAAAAAAATATATATAATTTCGAAAATTACAATAACTAAGTGGTCGATGGTGTGAGAAAAGGTTTAAATTCAACCTTAAGGGCGTTGAATTGTGCGATCAATCACATGTAAATGGGCGTTTGTGGCATATTATGTTTTAAGCGGGGAACATGCTTACCCGATGCAACGCTATGTGACGCTACCCAATGCTACCCAGCGTGTCACGTTTTGGTAGGATGTGCACATCTAAAGTGTAGTCACACAGCATGTATCAGTATCACAATCGAACGGCTCTTTTGTTCTTAATGCATTATTTTGAGAAAACCACGTAATAAATTGTTTGTTAAACTTAACTGTTTTAAATAAAGTTATTCCGGTGTTTTGATAAATTTTTTTCCCAACCATCATAATTAAATAATTTTTATAAAAACTTACGAATTTTAGATCACGATTAATTTTGTTTACATAAAAATAAGAATGTTGTAACTACTATAAAGACAAAATTACATATACTTAGTTTGAAATAAACTACAAAAAATATGAGTGTCCAGTTCTGACGCTACTCGACGAAAATGGCATAATTTTATGAGCAAACCATGAAATAAATTGTTAGTTAAATTTTATGAGCAAAACTGTGTAATAAATTGTTAGTTAAATCCAATATATCAAAAAATGGTATTTCGGTGTTTTGATCAATTTTCTATCACAAACCATTATTTTTTTATTTATTTTTTTTTTTAAATAAAAACTAATGAATTTTTGATCTCAGTTAATTTGGTTTATATTAAAATAAGTATGTTGTAATTAATATAACGACAATAATACATGTAGTTTGAATAAAAATATGAGTGTCCGGTTCTTTTGTCTTCGACTGTACTCGATGCTACCCTAGAAAATCTGGACAGTGGGGATCGCATAGCGTCGAGTAGGATAGCGTTGCATAGCATCGGGCAGATGTGCATGGGAGTAATACAATCTTATGGAAAATTGGACTTTGGATTTGGTCGGGTAGCATCGGGTAGCGTTGCATCGGGTAGCGTTGCATCGGGTAAGTGTGTTCCCGGCTTTAAGTCTGAACTAGGCGTGGTAAAGAAGTTTGAAATATTTAAAAAACTGAAAATTTAGTTCAAGGCAGTTTTCTATTTAAAAAACTAGTACTTGGCTAGTTATAGTTGGCTTACGTGCAGGTAAACAGCAAGGTCGTTGCCATTGCCCTCCCATCGGTGATATTCGACTGGGCATTGAGTCCATTTGTTTTCTTTGACAATCAAATCTGTCTGAATGTCAGTTGAAATGGAATCATCATTCGTTTGAGTAAAATTCTGATAAAAATTGTATAAAAAAATTAATTTTTAACAATTGTATGATAGTAATTCTTCAAAATCTCATTTTCCCAAACTACCTGCAGTGTATTCTTCTTGCCATACATCCTGATAAACTCATTGTAAGGTATCGGGAGCATGTCATAGATGTGGAAGCTGATCGGCTGGAGAGTAATCATTTCCAAAAGGATCTGGCCTCGTTTCTGTACGGCGTTCCTTTTATTTAAAATTGCCTGTAAAATATTTTAGATGAAAAGCACCGTCGGCGTTACATCTGTATGCTGAGTACCTTTGTAACAGCATCATTCTGCAAAGCAGCCTTAAAATTTAGATTGCTTAGCTGGAAACGTTGAGAAGCTTCTGTTTTCTTGAAAATTTTCAATTCATTTGGTCTTTTTAAACAAAAAAAATACTATTAGTGGAAAACGTAAATATGAAACTTGGGTAAAAATCAAAATCAAATCCAAAAAAGTATCTATAAGCAAGGAATTATGAAATTTTAAAAATAATTTTTAAACATTTTTTTGTTAAATTTACTGAATCAAATCTAAATAAAATAATAGCAAGACCAGGTTAAGTGTAATTAATTGAGAGGGAGTGCAGTCATCTTAATCATACATCTATTCTACATAAACATAGAAAATATTAAAAAGTAACAGCATCAGTTACAAAGCATCATGCTCTTCTACTTGTTAAAAAAACATGATTTTGTTTAGTTTATCAATAGTCTCGGTCATATTATTGCTGACAATGACAAGGAGAGGCTATAGATGTGGGAACATTGATTTTGATAAAACTTTTGTTGGTGCTACTACATCAGTCGAAAAATATTACACATGCATTCTTGCCTATGGGCCCTAGGAGCCAAGAATTTTTTTTTTAAAGTAATGCAAATTGTTTTTCTGTCTTTGTTGTGTTATATATATCGTTTAATTTTTAAAATAATTAAATGTTTTTCAATTAATTAATATTTACGAAAGGTATTGGTTGAGATAAAAAAGTTAGTGTCACGAGCGGGATTCGAACCCATGACCTTCAGCTAAATACGTCGCTACTCTACCACTTGAGCTATCGTGACCTCGATCCCCTCGGACACTAACTTCCACAAATATTAATTAATTTAAAAACATTAATTGGTCAATCGGACCACGAACTGTAATGGATTTAATAATTAAACTGAAGTATATCTTCACGAAAGCTCTCCGTGGCCATTTCATTTGTCGCCAAGAATCAAATAGATTACACAACATTTGAAAAATGGCAAAAAGGAGGGAAAATTCGAGAGGTAAGGTTGAGATGGGAAGTTAGTGTCTGAGTGGATCAAGGTCACGATAGCTCAAGTGGTAGAGTGGCAGTGTATTTAGCCGAAAGTCGTGGGTTCGAATCCCACTCGTGACCCTGACTTTTTTATCTCAACCAATACCTTTCATAAATATTAATTAATTGAAAAATGTTAATTGGTCAGTCGGACCACAAGCAGTAATGGATTTAATAATTAATTAAATGATTTTTATTTTTTATCTAGGAAAAAATTACATACTAAATCATATCAAATGAGATTAGATATATGAAAAGTTACAAGGACTAAAACACAGTACTTCCAGTAAAGTAAGTAAAAAAAAATGATTTTTGGAAAAACAAATACAATTCATATTCGTTTTAAGCACCCAGTTAAAGCACTTACACCCCAATTTTTATGACAAACAAAAAAAATAGTCATTTTTGATGTGGATTAGCTGAGGGAAATTTTTTTAAAATTGGTGTCCTGCTGTTCCACTTAAAATTGCATAACTCCACTGAAATTGATGCAAATTTAGCATTATTATAACGATTGTAAAGCTGGATTATTATACTTTCAGCCTATAATACAACGTTTATATATTATGTCATTATAGGTGAAAAAATATGGATGAAATCTTTGATAAAACCACCTCAAACATTTTATTTTATACCTCCGGTTCTAATTATTAATTTATTTAACGAGGTAACATTTGATCAATATGTGTAGTTTATAAAGGTACTAAATCCTTGTAAAATCTCCATTAGATCGATAAAGTGGTTTTAAAGTTATCACCATTTTTATTTCTGAGAAAAAAAAGAGACACTGGAGGCGAAAATTTTAACAAAAAAATATTTTTGATGAATACTCAAAATTTTGTTTTTAGGGAATTTTGTGGGTGCAAAAAAATGAATATAAATTTTTTACTAGCTTAAAGAATATTTTAGCCTTTGATGCATCGCTTGGGCACAAATTACATGTTTCAATATCAATGAGACAAACCTGCTAAAATATTGTTTATTGTTATTTGTAATAATTCCACCGTTCTACTGAATACTTTATGGGGTTTAGAACCTTATTTACTACAATTAATGGACTAAAAGTTACTTCTGAAAGTAAATTATAACCAAGAAATTGGAGAAAAAAATTCAATTTTAATTCTAATTTATCTCTCTTATAATGACGTTGTTGGCATAGTCTGAAAGAAGACATACTCTACATTAAACTGGTTTCATAATCATTCAATTTAGATAAAATTCAGAGGAATTTTGACTTTCTAAGTGGAATACAAGGCATCATCGAGATAAAAATAACAAAAGTTACCCCTGGCAAATCCATCTTAAAAATATTAATTTTTTATCACAAAGAAAATTCACATTAAAGGGTTTTAAAGAGAGCTTCCAACAATCCAGTTTTTTTTTTTTTTTTTTTTTTTTTTTGACAACTTTGGACAACAAATTGATTGATATAAGTAATTCCTGCTTAGAGGAAAGCTTAACGTCCAACTGTTTTGCAATTTTTAATTAAAAAGCCAGGGGCTGTGTTGGGATTGGGAAGCCCTAACCAATCAGCCATTTGGTACCGTCGATTGATATATAATAACCTTCAAATTACTTAAATTAGCTAAAATATTTTTTCTCGGCTCTGAAGACTTACAAGTGCCTAATATATTTGACCTAGTATCGCAAAAAACGTTTTATCAAAATCAGTGATCCTATATCCAAAGCCTCATCTTATGAGTCAGCCACTAACGGCAAAGTATCTTCATAATTCTGATCTGGGCTACAAATAAAAATAAACTAATAATTATATAAATACTCAATTATACACAATTTTTTTTCAAAATGAAAAATTTGTGTCAGGCGGGATTCGAACCCACGACTTTCGGCTAAATACGCCGCTGCTCTACCACTTGAGTTACCGTGACTTCGAGCACCCATGCCATAAACTTCTCATTTCGACTACCCGATTTTATTCTAATTATAAGCAAATCGCGGCTTCATATAGAAATACTTTTTATTAACGATTATACTAGATTAGCGGGACTGTGTACGATTCACAGGTGTGATTCTTGATTAATACTAAATTTTATCAGCTTCTATTAATTATATAAATACTCAATTAATTATACACAATTTTTTCCAAATGAAAAATTTGTCACAGGCGGGATTCGAACCAACGACTTTTGGCTAAATACGCCGCTGCTCTACCACTTGAGCTAAAGTGACTTCAATCGCCGAAAGTTGTGGTTTGAATCCCGCCTGTGACACAAATTTTTCATTTCGAAAAAAAAATGTGTATAATTAGTTGAGTATTTATATAATTAATAGAAGCTGATAAAATTTAGTATTAAACTAATAATTTTTCAATTTTGAGCACATGGTTTTTCTGAATGTTCTTTGTATTTGATCTTATATGAGCATGGATTATGCGATCGCCCAATTACACTTACTTACAAAGAAGGCTATGAGGCCTCTGAATCTTGAAAAGAATTATAAATTTGGCTTGCTAGCCTTGCCCCTGAAAAAAAGCAAAATGATTTGATGCTTTGGACAATAATTAAAGTCTGAAAACCATTACCCCGAATCAATTAGCTTCATAATATGAAAATATTGTGCTATAGTGCTAGCTACAAACAAATAGTGCACGTGTAAAGTTCTAATTTAACTATTAAAACTTTTACTTTACTGCCTTCTATCCTTCCTTCATCCAGAAAACATAGAAGATTGATGACAAGAATCCTTTACATGAAAGTTAATTTATTTTCTCGTGATAGCCATGGCAAACTACATTTTCTACATGAGAAAAGTTGATGTTAATTACTAGTTTTAAACTACTACTACTGGATATTCTAAGCAAATCAAAGCATGAGAAAAACATGCATTCTAAATGACTTTATTTTTGTAATATTTCAACCTTTCATTGTAAATTGTATTTTCTCTTGATATCGCTTCTTTTATCTCTTTCAGTTGGCTAGATCTGAGAATGTCAGATCTAATCATTTTCGATGAAAGATCATAACTCCCCGAATCCATTTTCTTTTCATCCTCAACGACGACATGCATCCTCTGTGGCTTGATCTTCTTCAGCTCGCTATCTGTGTCGCTCGCCGTCTCAACCGCCGATATTTGGTTCTCATCAGAACTCGTGAATCCAGATTCGGTGTCATCTTCGAAGTCAGATTCGTAATCCTAAGATATAAAAGTTTAAAAAAAAAATTAATTATAATGATCAATTGATTCACCTCGAAATCATCATCGTAATCAACGATTTCTTCGTCATTGTCTGCATCATTCTTCTCAAATTCTTCAGCATTTTTTGGCCTCTTGCCTTCAGCACCCTTATTGACATGTCTCACTTGTCTTGGCGTGCTTGTCCTACTAGAAGCTAGAAAAATTATTAATATTTTTTACTTGAAAGATTAAAGATTTACTTGAGAATATAATTATTATAATCATTAATGAGTCATTGCAGACATTTTAAATTGAAGGAAGCTATTAACAATTCTCTTTTGCACTTTATAATTAAATTCACTAATTTCGTGGTCCGCTTGACCAATTAATATATTACAATTAATTAAGGTTTTTAGTTGAGATAAAAAAAGTCAATGGCACGAGCGGGATTCGAACCCACGATTTTCGGCTATATACGCCGCTGCTCTACCACATGAGCTATCGTGACCTCGATCCACTCGGACATCAACTCCCCATCTCAACCCCACCTTTTGACATTTTTCTTGACCTTTTTATCTCAACTAAAAACCATAATTAATTGTAATATATTAATTGGTCAAGCAGACCACGAAATTAGTGAATTTAATGATTGAAAATGAAGTATACTTCACTAAAGCTCTCCGTGGCCATTTCATTTGTCGTCGAGAATCCAATCTGATTACACGACATTTGAAAAATGGCAAAAAGGAGGGAAAAGTCAAAAGGTGGGGTTGAGATAGGAAGTTGGTGTCCGAGTGGATCGAGGTCATGATAGCTCAAGTGGTAGAGCTGCGGCGTATCTAGCCGAAGATCGTGGGTTCGAATCCTGCTCGTGCCATTGGCTTTTTTATCTCAACTAAAAACCTTAATTAATTGTAATTTATGATTAATTCTTAAATTTTCAAAGTTTATATAGCTTCAAGCTGAATTTATTATGGAATGAAAATGAATCGAGCAGCTTAGATACAATTTATACATTGATTGTATAAGCTGCCACGTATACAATATTTTTGTAGTATGATTTTGATTTTATTAATGTATGTGCTAACATTTTGCCTTGGACTCTGCTATTAATTCCTGGTATGATGATTGTGGTCGTGAGTCTAAAATTAAATCACTCTTGTGTTTTCCTTTGTCTTGTTTTGAATAATCCACCTTGCTGAGCTCCTTTTCCTCTTGAGTGGCTAAAGCTTCGTTTTTTATAGGCACACTTGCCTCAGATTCTGATGGGTCTTCAAAATCCGATTCGTATTCCTGCACAATATATTTTAAGTGAGAATCATATAAAGTTAGATGTAAATCGCATAAGGACACTGTACACACTTACACCGAGTATTTCACTGTTGGCATCAGTTTCGGCGATTGACTTTGCATCTGAATCTTTGATGAATGTACTCTGCCTCGAAAACGATTCACTTAATGACTGTTCTGTGTACTTTTCCTTAGGTGGTGATCTCTTAACAGCAGCCTTTTTGGTTACAACTTTTTTAGGTTGGCCTAATGTGTAATTATATGCAACACCTCCTTTTGCATTAACTGTAAGATTATGAATTACTAATTTTGGAAATGCATTGTTACTAATGATGGCTTACATTTGGAATAACCAGTATATGGCGTGAGGTCAGGATTTGTCCGGTTATTTTTTTTCTCAGCTTTATCCTTCACAGGGTTTTTCTGAATTGACGGTGAGTTTATATTGGATTTGACTTGGCTCGTTGCCCCGGCTTTTTTCAGAACTGGCTTTGCCGCGGGCCGTTTTTCAAATTTGGGACTCGGCTCTGGTGTCGCTTGAACTGTTGTTTTAGGTACAGCTTTCGTATAGCTGGGTGCAGTAGTTTTGAGTTGACTTTTTAGCTTGCTATTCTCTTTGGGTACAGCCTTCGCTGCGCTGGCACCTGTCCTGTTAACAGGCGTTCGTTTTGCAATGGCTTTCACTTGTCTACTCACTCTCAGAGGCTGTTTTAGAGATGGGGCCAAAGAAGTGTCAAAAGTTTGAAATGTCGGCTTACTCGTGGAACCTTCAGCTCCACTCTCGTTTGACTTTTTTACTTTCTTCAATGCAGCTTTTGTACTCTTTCCTACTGGTTTATCGTCGTTAACCTAAAATAAAATAAGAGCTGAGTTACATAATGATCTAAATATTTAAATGTTTGTTATAAACATCACAACAGGAGATTTTTCTGGGTTTTTTAACGAGGGTTCGCAACAGCAGAGGTTATATCAACCTTGGGGTGCCGGTGTTTTTGAAAAAAGCCCATTTGTAAGTATATCGGGTTCGAATGCAGAGCCTCCGGATTCGAACCCGAGACCTTTACCTTACAGAGATGAACACCGTGTCAACACCTAAACCGTTGCGGCCACCGACGCCCCACTAGTTCATACATGAGGCTGATTTTTTTTTTTTAAACTTACTAATTAATTAATGACTATTTAATTAGTTTAGTGTAGAAGGATTGTTATATTTTTAACTAACATTTTAAAGTCGTATTAATAAATTTCAATTAATTATACTTTTATCTAGTCTTGATCAAGATGAAAAAGTGTCATGAGCAGGATTCCCACAACCTTCGGCTAGGTTCAAAACCCCCTTATTTTTTCATCTCAACTAAGACTATATAAAAGTATAATTAATAATTAAATAATAATTATGAGCACTAAACATAAAGGCTTATTAATAAATTTAGTCAAGCCAAATCCAACTGGTTGGTATTATAAATTATGTAAACAGTTGTATAAATTTTTCAAACTAAAAATTTATTGATTTTAATTATGATCAGCATTTAAATGGTACATGCTAACAAATTAATTGTTGATCCAAAAATTATTATTTGAATTAAAAAAATATATTGTTTAAAATTTGGTATTTTCTCACTTGACTTTTTATTTACTTAACATTTCACTTGTAGTATTAAGCAAAGTTTAAACCAATATTCAATATTTTGTAGATTTACATTTTTACTTTATTCAAATTAATTAAAAATATGCACATGCTAGATAATAAATCACACCGTTAAAAACGTACCGAAATAAACCCATTGATGGACTCGATGTCTTTGCTAGGTCGTTTAGCCATTGTGCCAAAAATTCATAAACGAACAAAAAAATAAGGAAAAATAGGACCCCAGAGAGAAATGTGTCAACTAGAGTGCTGAAGATACCATGCGAACATCATTATCTAATGTCTGTTATGTCAGGGAAGAATGCAGCCAAGTTGAAAACATCAATGGCATAATCGAAATTCACATTGTGATACATTCTACACCGTAAATCGCCATATATTCGGTGAACGAATATTGTAAGGTTTCAAATGGGCAAGATAAACAAGGCAACTTGTGAAACTTCTTTGTTGTACTGACTCGCTCCTAGGCAACCCGATATCAACTAGGGCAGTCGAAAATTGTTGTGGCTACAGGGTATATTTATAACACAATTATTAACTGAATTATTCATCTTATTTTACATATTTACAAAATGGGTTGTAATTTTGTTTTAATAATCTGATAGCCATTCCTTCACCTTAAGTTTCCAAATTATACAAAAAGAAAAAATATATAGCACAAAATTAATTTCTGACTAAAATTGAAACATGAAATTAGCTTGATGTGATTGATAACAGTCATAAAATTGTAATTGTACGTAAAAGATAAGTAATAAGGTAAATTTGATTTAAAAAAAAAAAAAAAAAAAAACAGTTTCTTTCTCAACCTTTCGAGGTTTATATTTAGCTTAATAGATTGGCTGAGACTACCATTCTACATAACAATTGTGGTTCAAATCATAGGAAAAAGTTTCAAGACCTGATAAAGGAGATGGATTTATCCCTCAAAAACTTGATCGAAGAACAGAGTGCTTTTCTTTTCTTTTGGCTTTATGATAATTTCTTTTTAACATAACAAAACAACATAAACAAAATAAATCAAATTGTACAACTTAAAAAAAAAATATATATATATAAATCGATGAGTATACCATATTGACTCATGCCTAAGATAATGTTTTTAAGTGATCAGTAAAAGGTATAAAATAAATTCTAAGGAAGAGACTAATTTTTTGGATCATCCTGTAAGTCGAAGAGAGCCGATACTATAATATAATTATCATAAAAAAGAGTAACATTATTTAACAATTAATAAAGAGATTTATCAACAAAACATTCATTAATCAATTTTAGCTATCAAAGGATTAATTAAATAATCATTAAATTCAATCTTTCATACTTAATTTTTTCATATGAGTCTTCAAAACTTTAATATATATACATAGATATCATTGACCAGCAGATTTTTTAATTGCTGTGAGATTTATCAATTGATAAGCTTTCGGCTTATATTTGACCTTTATCATGGCTAAGCTATAATATTGAATTTTAAATTACAATGGATAGAGGGTATTCATATGTATATGTTTTGTTGACAATAATCCTAGTAATCAACTTTATATTTTTTTAACCCTGAAGGAGGTCAAATATTGACCGAAAGCTTGGCAATTGATTGAGCTCAAAGCTGACTGACCACAAACTTGATGCATAGTAAATTAATTCAAGCTGTCATATAATTAACTTCTGATTTTATTTAGAATATTTTTTTTATAAATAAGGATTGTAATTATTGGAAGATTATGAAAATTTTATCTTTATTGATCATTTTGATTCGCCTATCCTTGTTTGGCCAGTCTGTCATTTTTTGTCGATGCGTCTGACCGACCTAGCTAGGATACACCAAGATGGTCGATTACAGATGCATCCTGCAGACCTCAGGAGGAAATTTTTCATCAGGCTGAGACCAGTATGTATAACTCAACTCATAACAAACAAAAAATATTATGTTATATTAAATTTTCCTTTTATCTCCTTATTTGTTTCTATATTTGAATATTTATATTTTATTAATATTTTATATTTTTATTAGTATTAATATTCAATGAATTGTTTAAATTTTAATTTGTTTAAAATGATTTAATAGTGTCTTTGGCATTAATTTGAAAGTATTAAAACTTCTTTTATTAAAAGCGACGTTTTGGCATTTATGACATAATCAACGCCATTTTAACTTTTTTTAAGTCAATTTGTTGATCGACCACGTGCGTTGGTTGTCATATTGAATTCAATATGACCTAATTATTAGTTATAATAAATAAAATGGCAATGATCATGCCAAAATGTCCGGTTAATACCTTCCAATTACGGTCAAAAATACCCCAACTGTCCACATCGAAAAAGGAAAATGAAAGATTTAATTGAATATTGTAAGTAATATTACAAGGTTCACTTAAGATTTTTTAGTAATTTCGGTCTTTAGAGTCTCCATGATTATTCGTGTTTCGGTGAAGTTCAGGTCGAGGACTTAATAAAATGGTACCCGAAAATCTAAATGCTACGCATCGCTTTAAAATTTTATAAACAAACGAAGCAATTTATTTTTATTGTCATTTCTGGTTCGGTTATAAGTAGTGCCTTTTCTAAGTTAACGTCCCAAGCATGGTTGAATTATTAAAATTATTGAAATTCATCGTGGGTCTTCCTCTGGACCATAGTCAGCTAGTTGGAGGTCAAATTTTTTCCTTCCTACCTCATCATCCGTGTCCAGTTCAAAATCCGACTCGTATGTCGGCAAAACCGTCTCACAATCGTAGTCGATCAGCAAGCCTTCTTTACCAGATTTTTCCATTGCGGCATCACGTCGTAACATTCTGGTGGTATTCAAATGACGCCAATTCGTCTTTGAACGACGATATCATCGTACTGCTCGCTCGATACACCTCTCGGCTTGATTTGTTTTACCCGACGATTTTATGCCAACTGTCACCTATGAGTTACGACCTAACCACTCTAACATTAAATAGATAACCTTAGGAAAAAAATAAACCTTTTGTTTTCTCTTTTCAGTGCGATTTTGGTGACAATTTAAGCATTTTCGGGGGGACGAACAAATCCACAATCTATAATATTTTTATTATTTAGTATTGAAATGAAAGTGAAACAAGTCTTATTTAATCAAAAATAATTAATTCATTCTATTAAAATTGCCAAAAGAATTTCTTCTGACACTGGTATCTATTTAGTAGTCACAAATGTATAGCAGATAACCGATAAAACTGTCATCAAACCAAACGATTATCGTCAAAAATAATTTTGATTGTTTCTTTAAATAATGTTTTTGGTCTCTATATTTTGTTTAAATGAATAAAACAGAAAACGCCCAACTTCGCTAACCCAGATAATAAAGGCCATACTTAGGGCTACAAAGCCACAAATTTCCGCGTAAAAATAATTTTGCTAAAAGAGTGAGCTAAAGTTTCTGTACGTCTCGTCACTACTGTCTGCGATATTTAAAATACTGCTTTTGCCTAATTTAGGTCAATTAATACCATAAGAGCAATTTTGTTTTCAAACCTCATTATTAAATGAACAATCGGTTCGCCCTGCAGACCTCAAGAACCTCAAACTACAGAATAGTAAACTGATCGTCTGGAACAATTCTCACAAAGCTGCCATCTGACAGAACCAATTCTTTTATTGCCATCTGACCAACTCAACAAGAATAGGCATAACAAAATGACTTAAAATGACCAAACTACAGATTCATAACTTCATAACCATAACCTTAAACCTTACTTCTTTTGGTCATTAAACATGAACATGAATACTCATTATAAATTTCTTATAGTTCATACTTATTGGGAGTGCAATTGATTCCACGTGGTAAAGAAACAAATATTCCTGGAGGATGAAAACAATTCATTTTCTATAAATTTTATTACTTAAAATAACACTGTATTTAAAATAACCCACATTGTGATCATGAATAGTGTACATCCTATGGTTTTTAAAAAAATATATTATTAATTAAGGTTTTTAGTTGAGATAAAAAAGTCTGTGTCACGAGCGGGATTCGAACCCACGATCTTCGGCTAAATACGCCACTTGAGTTATCGTGACCTTGATCCACTCGGACACTAACTTCCCATTTCAACCCGACCGAAGATGATTCAGCGAACCTGAGAAAAATTACTATCGGAATCAGTTTATTCCTTTACAAAAATTTAAAAATTTAGCCTTTCAGAAATTATTTAATCTACCCAAAGAATGTTACCTTAAAAAA